CTGTGTGTGTGTGTGTGTGTGTGTGTGTGTGTGTGTGTGCGTGCGAGTGTGCGTGCGGAGGGGAGGGGGGTTGAGAGAATTTGAAAACCTTACTCGATTACAAAACACAAAGGAATCATTTTCAGGCCAAGAGATAAAGAGGGCAAAGAAATGAGCAATAAAGGAGGGGAAAAGGCAGACGAGACGCGCGATATTATAATATATCCCACTTGTACAGTTGAATAAACAGACCACAAGAAGATGCATATTAGTATCAGTAAGCACCAGGGTTAGATCTATCCCTCAGAAGAGATTGGATATTTCATGACACTTTTAAGTGGAATGTAAAAAAAGGTGTGGTTGCTTGAGGCTAATACTCTACTAGACTAGTTAAAATCATTCAGCAGGAGGGTTCCAAAGCAAAGCGTCATATTGATATGAATGAAAAGGGACTATTACAAAATTAAACCAGTTTTACTACAATAGATTATCCTGTTGCTTTTTATTTAATCCAGATAATTTCCTTTTTCTAAAACAACAGCCTTACCGATGGTCGTTTCCAAATGATATTGCCATGAAATCTGTCTCCTGGCGGTGCACGGCCGTCGGGGTAGATTGATCTAGAATTTGGGGGAAATTGATTGTCAGAGAACACAGATCCAGAGTGAAGCAGTTCATTCTTCAGCTTTTCATAGTCCGGGGTGGGTCGGATTATTACGCTCCCCGACATCGTGGTTGTATGCACTGTATATTATTGTTGTGATAAGTGACGATAATATATCACCGATGTTCTCTCACAGATTCCAGCCAGTTTCAATGCGTCACGGAGTACTGGACACACAATCAAAGCTTGGACCACTGGAACGGACGAACGACCACAAAAGGGAAGCACAAGGCACTTTCACTAATGTCTGTTCGTGTTTTGTGTACGTTTGTTGGTTCACTCGCTTGCTTCTGTGATCGTATGTTTCCTATTATATGTCGTAACTTGTGTGTAACTTGACAGGAATTTCTGAATCCCTAGAACCTGTTCTCGGGGTGAGGATAACTGTATTTTTTTCTGTACGTTTGTTTGTTGGTGCTGATTGCTGTTCATGAACGCTTGCCTTTCCACATGTCTTTACTCAACACGAACAGCCCATCTTTTTCCAGAAGTCTCATTCAAGACGTCAAACTCCAGAGCACCATAGTTCTTCATCGCCTGTAAAAGAAAGAAAACAAAAACAAAAAATGAATTAACGTATGTATTACTTCTTGTTTGAGGAGATGGGAGCAGTAAAGCACGTTTCGATCAAGTAGCTTTCAATACCACAGCAAAGAAATGTCAATTGGTTGCTAAAATGGAGTTTTTATTCAAACATAGCGACGGCCAGATGTTAAAGTATACATTGCCCCAAATTCTGAACACTTTTTAATACAGCGTCTAATCTGTGGTATGGGCTGCATGCGCTCAAAAAATATTTCGTTGAAACTCAAATTTTAAATGCTGAAAAAAGTTTTAAAAATACGTAAGAGGTATAATTGTTAAAAGAATTAAACACACACTCCCTCTCTCTTTTTTTCTTTCTCTCTCTCTCTCTCTCTCTCTCTCTCTCTCTCTCTCTCTCTCTCTCTCT